CACTTTGCTGCTGTTGTCGGCTGCCAGCGCCATCAGCGCCTGCACTTGCAGCTTCGCGGCTGCCAAAGCGTAACAAAACGCTTTTGCGCATGTGTGCGCGTGTGTGTGCACACATTATTGCAAGTTTCACTTTTGTTACAAGGCACGCGCGCAAAAAAAAAAAACAACCAGAAGGCAGGTAAATTAAAATCGAGAAAAAAAGTGAAATGAAACAAAGCAAGCCAAGTACAATAACAACAACAGTTGCTATACAAACATCTATGCACAGCCTCAGTGCAGCCGCTTTGCTATTATTTTTGTAAATTTTGCTTATTCGCCCGCTTTTTGCTTGACTTTTTCGGCGTAAGCAATTTTCACGCATGCGCGCGCTTATTAGCCATTGCTAATACAATCAAAAAAGCCAGCACAGTGCAACAGCAGAAGCCATTGTTGCAGCTGCAACAAGCAGCAGTGCTACCGTGTGGCATAAATGGCTAAGCATGCTGCATATTAGTTGTAATTGTGGATTACAAAAGCGCATTTATTCATTTTTGCAACAACAATAACAATAACAGCAATGACAGCAACAGTAATAGCAAATGTTTCGAACGGAGCGGAGTGTGTAATTTTACAAGGTAACGCACTAGAGGGCACACTTACACACATAGATTTATGGTACATATGTATATCTTCTTATAAACTGTAGGTAACAGTTGGGCTTAAAACTCACTTTAGGTTCGAAATCACGACTCTGATGCTATTGCTTTTGTGGTGCATACTGTCACTACAAATATCGACCGATTATTGCATCTGACTGCGATAAAAACTGTTCGATCCAAATCAAAGTTCTTGTATGGAAAACTTTTGTATTTGATAAGTTATATTCCCCTAGTTTGGTAATATTTTTCAATCCGGAAAAATAACGTTTGCAGTTTTTAAGATCGATTTTATATGATATATCTTTGTATATATCAAAAGCTAAGGGACTAGCTCTCGTACGGCTAAGGCTAAATCGGCTTCATATGATCTCCGATGCTTCCTACTGAACGTTACAAATTCCGTGGAAAATTTAGTAAGTTTTATTCAGTGTGCACGTACGTAGTAAAAAAATATGTATTAAAAATGTGAAATCGAACATTTTTAGACTTTTAAAAATTTTCGCAGGAATACACAAATTTTTACTAAAAAAAAAACTATTAAAAACTTTATAATTATTTAAAAATATAAATTTCGCTCTTTTATTTTTTATAATATTTAATTTATTATATTATTTTTTTTAATAAAATAATTAATTAAAAATTTAAAAAGCTTATGTTTATTTTTTATAATATTTAATTTATTATATTATTTTTTTTAATAAAATAATTAATTAAAAATTTAAAAAGCTTATGTTTATTTTTTATAATATTTAAATTTCGAAATTAATATTTTGCAATAACTTCTTTTTCGATCATTTCTTTTTCTCTAATTTATAATAATTTTTTTGTTTTTATATTTATGTTGGGTAGTCGAAAAATTCTTTTAGTATTTTTAATCAAACATCAACATATTTTTTTTTTTATATTTATAATGAACTTTCATGAACCAAATATGTACCATTTTGGTCGACCACTTTTTGTAATTTTTCTGCTAGAGGCCTTATTCCATCAGTGTAAAAAATTTCTGGTTTCTCGGCGTTGTTGACAGCAAAATGTAGAATCAATCGTTCGATGAGGCAGGAGCAGCTCATAGTGGATTATTCCCTTCCGATCCCACAAAACACTCAGCATAACAATTCGAGGCGTCATTCCTGGCTTTTGCCATTTGTTGAACTTCACCACGCTTGGGGCGTGATCTTTTTCGCACATTATTGTAGTATTTGATCCACTTTTCGCCGCCTGTTACCATTCGGTTCAGAAATGGTCCGATTTCAATTCGTTTCAGCGAAGAATCGCAGATGGTAATTCGGTTGATTAGATTTTTCACAGACAATTCATGTGGTACCCAAATATCGACTTTCTTTTTGTAGCCAGCCTTTTTTAAATGGGTCAAAACCATTTGATGATGAATTTTAAGTTCCTTAGCAATGTCATGGCTACTTATGTGAGGGTCCCGGTCAATATTTGCCATAATTTTATTGAATTTTTAAACGATATGTCGACGAGGGTGAGGTGCATCTTTCACATCGACATTTCCAGAGCGGAAGCGAGTTAACCATTGTTGGGCTGCACGAATTTTCTTTGGTAGCTTGCGTGGCATTCTTCCTTTTTTATATAATAATTTCAAAATATAGCGAAATTCTTCACTATTTTCACTCATTTTTGAACAGCTGTCACTTTTTTTCAACTATCCCGAATTTAATTTTTTTATTAGTTAAATGAAGCTTAAAATCTCACCTTTCTAACACTATAGGCAAGATACAATGTGATTGGTAGTATTGAAGATATGACTGCAACGACACCTATTGACAAAATACGAAAATACTTTTACGACTATTTTTGTACGAGAATATATTTGAAAAAAAAAAAAAATTGATATCAGTATTGACCGTTATTTGAGCATTATGATTTGAATAAAATATTAAAATTTCAATTTTAAACAAAATTTAATTAAAAAAATATTTGCATAATAAATATTTTGAATATTTAGGCACCAATATTAGCAAGCAACTACAAATAATTTTCGTGCTCATTCATAATAACATAATAATTTATTAACATATGCATGAAATTTTGTCCCTTGAATGGCAACATAATATTTAAAAAAACTCAAATTTATTGCATAGAATTTCTAACAACAACAAATTATGTGACTAATTAATGCATAATTAAAATGCTCTACTTTGTGGCAACAAATATTTCAAATTCTTCCCTTAGTTTTTTTTTTTTGTGGATATTTGAATTTTTTTTTTTGCAATGTTAATTTGTTGGCTTTTATTTTAAAATCACACTTGATATTTATCTTTATTTAATACAAGTTTTTGTAGTTATTTAAGTAACAACAGACGTTTAAATTTGCATAATACGGTTTAAAAATTTTTTACTTAATTTTTTTTTAATTTTCATATAATATATGTAACTTGCGCATAATTTTCATGCACAAAAATCGGCAACAAAGCTTTTTATTAAAATTTTTTCGCGTTTCCTTAATAATTTTTTTTGTCGAATATTTCAATCTGACTTTTTTCAACTTCATTGTTGATGCTTTTGTTGTTGTTTTTTGCACACATATTTGCTGGTCATAAAGCGATTTCAATTCGTTTTGGCTCTGGCAGCAGTTGCCACAAAAATGTTTTTGCTTTATTGCTCTTGCACGTTTGTTTGACTTGTTGTTGTTTGTTTGTAAATAAAGAAGAAAAAAACTCAACTTTTAACGCTTTAACAATTTCCATTGCATGTTTGCCGCGGCATTTTTACTTTATTGGCGCATGTGTATGTGTGTGTGCAATTTTAATATTTTCTGCTGTCTTCGTGCCTTGGTCTGCCCGGCTGTTGGTTGAATTTTTCACGACTCTGATTACATTTCTGGCGCTTTTTTGTTGCATTTGTGTGGAGTTTTTAATTTAAAATGTTGTTGGCTGTTGTTTTTATATCGCGTCGTTGGATTCTCCATTTGTATTTATTTTTCAATTTCCAATGCCAATTAATGCATTAATCGCTGCGGATTACGTTTTGAGCTGCAGATTATTTTGATTGCCACTTGTTATGTGAAATCATTTGACTGTTCAAGGCCATTTCGCCAACTTTCGATTTTTTATCGCTAATTAGCGATTTTTGCATGCTTCGCTGCGGATGGCTGCGGTGAAACTTTAAGGGCTGAGCCGTGGAGGGTGTGTGAAAAACATACATGCGCATGCACACATGGCTGCATTTGAGACAAATATACGAAAAGTATTCAAATGCACAGTAAAACATTTTTTTTTTTTAATTCAGAATACTTCAAACAAGGATATACCTACCCATCTAGTCATTGAAACATTTTGTTGTCATTGTAGAAAATTAAAAAAAATTAT